TGAGTCACTACGTCATCATGGTATCCACCGTTAGGCTGAGCCAATTATCAGATTGTGGGTGAAATGATGGCTTTCACATTCATCCGTTTCGGCCTCTAGGAAATGCTATTAGTCGTTAAACCTAGAATATGGTTATGATCGAATTTGTTAACCTGCGCTTGATAATAAACAAGCTGTATTATTACACTACCTAACAAATATCAAATCATTAACTTACGTATAAAACGGTTAGAAAATTATTTAACGATACAACTACTCAGCTAAATCAGATATCAATGAACATCAAAATCTATTTACCCAAGACTGAATCACGTTCAAAGGTTTATTTAGTTTTTTGGTAATTACAATACATGGTTCTTCTTAAGTCAAAAGTAATTTAAGATGACTATAAGAAAAATTTGGTCTGATAAATTGTTTTCACTATTGCTGAAGTACTACTAAATGATACTGTTAAATTAATATCTCATCTTCATAAACGCGACACAGCCATTCTTTCGTTATATTTATTTGCGAATTGCTCATCACAGATAAAGTATGTCAATAGTTTTCCACAAGTGTGTATACATGTTAACTGATATGTGATCATATATTCTATATTTATCGTAATCTCATTGTAAATGATTGATGGTATTAGAGATACTTATTGTTCTGTGCGATAAAAGTACCCGTAGTTTAATTTCATCGCCTACGCCTTCTAGTTCATCTGTGAAAAATAGTCATGTGCTGTTATTTGAGTTTTTTTGTATGAATTGAATTTTATGCGGAAAACACCCATATATATGTATGTTACACGTGAAATATGACCTTAAAAATCGATTCGTCAATTTATTGTGTGTGTATTTGCAAAAATGAATATTGATGGACATTATGATTTGCATAGAGAGTTATTTGAAGCAGTTCACAAGCCACTTTTCTGAAGGATTTTAGTCTTAAACGTTATGGACTGAAGAAGAAGAAAGAGCATCTTTTAGTGTATCAACATTGAAGCACTAACTACCGAGGAAAAAGCTATTTTATGCATCCGTGTTTCATGTGTAAAATCAAAAGTGGTAGTGTTCTGATAGATTAAGATTAGCTTAGCCTAACAAACTGATACAAGAATGTAGGGCAGGACTATAACTTAGGGATCACTTTTGAGCATTACTAGAGTGTCCTTGATAAATATATGAGATTGTGTGAGGAATGAGGGCTGGGAGTTGTAGTTGGAAGCAACGGTTAAGGTTTCCATCACGAAATGACATCAGCTATAATGCCAGTGTAGTTAATCTGTCTGAATAAATGCATTTCTTGCTGAAATTCGGAAGTTTCTGTCCTAAGTCTAGTTGGTTGGTCCTTAAATTATCGACTTACCGATAGTAGTCACATTTATTGTATATAATTGTATCAATGACCTCTCTTTTTGTAGGACTTGTTACTACCAGCTTGCATACACTTCTATTAGATGCACTAGACCGTACTTTATTATTCATTGTTAAAAACGTTAAGTAAGAGACGAATTTATCTTGTCTTCCGTCGATTAATATTGTCTTTGAGCCGTATTGGAAAACCATTGATTAGTAAAACAGATATTTTGTCCCATTAGGTTTCTATGTTCTCTATCGAACACTAATGTGAGTCTCACAACTATTGAACGGTAGAGCCTATAAATAGTATGCAGTAGTGTCGTCCTGAAATGACGTCTGAGGCGAGAATTATCGGATCCAGATTTATGGAGTGACATGTGTGTTTTAAGGAATGGAAGACATGTGGAATAATATAGTTATGGATACGCCTGTTTTGCAACTGGATGTACACAATTGGCTAGTAGATCTTCTTTATTAAACTTGAAGAATAAAAGTTTTACTACCAACACAAAATTTTTTTTAGTGCGATAATTTATCACTAAGTGATGCAGAGTAAACAAAATTTCTGAACGTAATTAAAATACTACCCCCTTTTTTATATTTATATCTTCGTTTACTTTACAAAGGTTCTGTGGTGGTTGATAATCATTTATAAGCTTTTTTTAATTCTCAAATCAACTTCTTTTAACGTTGTACTAAGCTAATTAGTCAACTGGATTCTCTACCACTTAAGATGCACCGTACATTGAATCAACTTTAAATCATTTCATACTAGAATTTAACCAACTACTGTTTGCATATTTTAGTTGTCAAAGTAGTATAAATGACATCTTCGTTTGTGTTTGTGCTTGTAGGTCATTTTAATCTTATGTGATCAACAGAATATTCTTTGAAATAATTTAAACGTAACTAACGGGACTTTCTTTATTTGTTTTGATAGTTTGAATGTCTCTATTGGTATTTAGGACTACAAGTGATCAGTCTGATTTGGCATATGTGCATCCTGTGAGGATTGGATCCATATAGCCAGTAGGTGATACACATCAGCGAAGGTGGATAGTGACTAATACAAGTTAGTGACTGTGTGAAAACAGTAGCCAATTGAAATGTTGTGGCGTTCGAAGCGTAGGTCTCGGCTCTGAGTCCTGAAGTGAATATCAACTCCGAAATGTTGTTATATCTATCTGACGAGTCCCGAATAGGATGAAATGCGCGTCCTGAATTCCTAAGACCGTAAGTGGAATCTGGGAGCTGGACGTAATCCCAACTGACTGGTCCCAATAGCTGATAATCCCAGTCTGTAAGAAAGGTTAAAAGTCCTCTTGTAACAATCACAGAGGAATCAGTTTAACTAAGATAGTTTCCGAAGTATTAGCCTCGTTAATACTTCGACGTCTCACAAGTGTTTGTGAAGAGCAGACTCGAGAAACTAGGCTGGTTAGAATTCAGACCTGAACTCAGCTGTATTGACCAAATATTCACAAATATCACAGACACATACTCAGATCTCCCACGATAGTTGTGTTCGTCAACTATAAGGTGGTATTTGACTCTGTTGGTCGTGAGGTTCTGTGGCAGTGTCTGTCATTGAAAGGTGTACCAGAGAAGTACGTTTACCTTATAAAAGCTCTCTATTCGAACACTACTGGTTGATTGAGAGCTCAAGGCAAACTGTCATCAGAATTGATGATATAGTTCTGTTTGGTGAAGACGCTGACTATATGCGGAGTCTTGTTGGCACCTCTAAGCAATAATGCAACCATGTCCTAGATGCGATTTTCCCCGTCAAAGTGTAAAATGCTGCTTCAGGATTGACTGGGATCCGCGAAAATGGCACAAATTCATCAAGTCACTGACAACTGAAGTGAACCATGTTAATAGGTGTAGACTATCAGGTTGGGGTGAGAAAATAGTAATCGATGGTTAGAGACTTTGAATTACGTGTCTCAAAGTAGTGGCGCATATGCATCCACTTTTTCTTTTCTCAAATTCTAAATTTCTAAATTCTTCGCGATCTCTTTTTAAAAATTTTTTCACTGGGATATACTTCTCGAATGATATTACTAATCTTTTCGCCTACTGCTAATAGTTTTACTACCTCTACTACTATGGGATTTGAAATGACAATCGGATCTTTGTGTACTATTGTTGTATGGCAACTTCAACTGATGTACGTACGTACGAAGTTGTACGTTGTAACTAACTGACTTTTGGCTATGGTCATTTAATGTTGACTAATTCGATTAACTAAAATGTAAGAATTTTCCTATGTTTGGTTTTTGTTTTAGCTGCTTCAATGTAGACATTAGTTTATTGGGTGCATAATTATCCGATTCCATAGGATAATCATAAAATCATCCAACTTATTTTATTTAACCCAGATCATAATGATTTCTAGATTTTCCTCGAAATGTATAATTCTTACAATCTATTCAAATTTGGTATTTGTACTCATTGTTGTTGCCAAATCTTTTGTATAATTGTTTCTGTTCGCTATTCACGCATCATCAGTTAATGAACCTGATGATATTGTTTAATGGTTTATAGTTTCTAATTATTATCATTTTCCTTGTTTTAAAATTATTATCAACAATTACCATATTCATTATTTATTTCATGTCATTGTAAAAAAATTTTTTTCATTGAATTAATTAATGCTTGATAAAATATCAATATTTTTGTTATTTGTTCATCTACTAATGAGTATTATTTGAATATTATTTGAAATCGTTCAAATCAACATTAAATAAATAATTTAATTTTGATATTTTATATTAAAATAAATCTGATCAACTTATGAATATCAATCAAATATTCATAAAATACACATATATATATTTAACCTTTGTCCATGTTATACACAAATAATGATGTGTTTTTTTTTTCCAAGTTAAATTATAAAAAAAAAATTGCACATAACAGCATAATCACAGTTCAAATGTAACATGTTAATTTGTCAGAGTTAAAATTTCAGATGAATTCTATCAGCGAGACATAATTTATTGCATTAATAATAATAATAATAGTAATAATAATAATAATAATAATAGTGATATACTAATTATACTTTTATTTATTCGTAATGATATCACATTTTAAATATTATTTGAATTGATATTCATATTTTAACTTCATTTTCAACATAAATGTCAACTAGTGTTTCACTTTATCGCAAGTTAATAAAAAATTAAAATTACAAATTGTTAGAATTTTATACAAGGGTTTGATGAGTATCAGACTAATCGTTATGTGGTTGGTGTCTGGCATGTAGGATTTTGTGCACTTATTTCTGAGAAGTGAAAAACTTGAATGATACAACTAGTGAAAAACCGATTGATCGTATAATCTGTTGTAAAGCTTATGAGCTTGCTCTTTTTGTTGAATGTTACAGAAGCTTAGTTTATACTTTTTGAAGTTATTGGTTTACGTTCCAAGTATTGAACACATATTTTCTTTTGGGAAAATCTACTAGAATATATGCAGTCAGTTGGTGATGCATCTTTACAACGTTTAGATATACATTGAACTTTGATTCATCGTCTAATTTAATCAGTTAAATATTCATCACTTAATATTTCAAAATAAAAACAATAATCATAATTCTGTCTATGTTGTATTTTCAATTCTCGTCTAATTATCTTTTTTTTTTTCGTCTAGGTAATATACCGACACTTCATGATCTACATTTGAATAATAATCCGAATTTGAATAGTTTACCAGCTGAACTTTCACTATGTAGCAAATTGATTATATTAAATTTAGAAAGTTGTCCATTACGTGCTTTACCTGAACCAATAGTTAAAGGTGGTTCTGCTATGATTATTTATGTAAGTTTTTGTTTAGAAATTTTATCATTATTGGAAATGTATGAATTATATCATCTTAAACATAGACTAAGATATACTAGTCCACAATGTTTATTATTTGATTCAATATGAATGCGGTTTATTCTTTATTTGCTGCAATTAATACTTGCCAAAATGTTCTATGATTGTTTTGATTCCACTCACTGTAGTTAAAGCTTTTCTCAATCTTCTTTGCCTTTAAGGAATTAATAGTTGATGACATAACTTCTTGGATTATGATATAGACTAAACAGTCAAATTGTACCTAAATTTGACTAATTTTATAATCTATTAGCAATACGATTATTCTCTCTTAATTTCCGTCGGGGTTAGTCACTGTTACAGAGAGAACATATCAGAACTTTGAATACTCCGGTTGACATTATATTATGTGATGTAAACAGTCTTTGTTAACTTCATAGTAGTGAACCCTATTTTTAAATATAATTACAAAATTATACCTTTGATGTGTAATTTTCGTGTTTAATTTTTTTTTGAAGTATGTTATTCCGTTGACCAACTATTGATATGCAAGCAACCATATCGGATGTATAAGTGACTATGATTCATTTTGACACGGTAGTTCGACTAATTGTCTTGATTGTTTATAATAACAAATTTCTTGATCGATGCAAAAGAGTTATTTTAGATAAATTAAATTTTGTTTGTCCAAATGTTTATATCTTGTTCTTAATCTCCTGTTTTAAGTTCAGTGAAAGAAGTGATTTTATCTAATCACTGCTACTACATTGTTCTAATTATTTTCTAAGCAGATAATTCCCATCACTGATTCATCTCTTTTTATAGGATTGTAAGAAACGATACACCATTGCCTCATTCACTCCTGCTTAGTATTTACATGGTTTTATTAAAACGATTGGTCAATCCAATCATCACGATTAGATTGATTGTTTCCTGGCATTTCTAGAACTCTATAGACCTTTGCCAAGAATACTTTGCGACTTATCAACAGTTAGTCACCAAATATTTTTTCTTTCATAAAAAATTTGCCTTTGAATCTAATAGTAGATTGGGTGGTTATAATAAACATTTTATCTAAATCTTTAAAGGTTTGGAGTTAACTACAGAACTGTTTCATAGAATTGGATGTTTATTGTCCACATTTTGTTTTTCAAAACTTTAGTTCCAATTAATCTTATTTTTTTTAGTTCCTTCAACAAGTGCTACAGTTACGGCGACAACAAAATATCTTATTATGCTAACAATTCCACTGGTGATGTCAAGTTATTTTGTACTCATGCTTTTACTTTGCACTTACACACATAAGTGCCTTAATTCTTACCGACTAATTGTAAGTTAATACAATCGGTATAATGTTATTTTAATTATGAAGTATACGTGTATAGTTTCAATATTTACCATTATATATATGTATAGTCTAAGCGCATTTAATGTAGGTAGTTTACCTTTCAAAAATATTTGGACTTCATTGAGATCGTGATTTAATGCCTTCCCTAGAACCCAGTCTAAATTCATAATCGCTGTATCCACATCGTTGTTATAAGGAATTAATTTAGTTCGCCCAACTGAAAATCAGTATACATTTTCTCCTGTTTCGCAGGTGCTTATTACTTTCTAACAATAAAGATTTGTTTACCTAGATATCAGAGACGTTTTGATGTTGCACCATTCTCCTGAAAGTATTAGGCAACAGATTTTCTAGTGATTACTTTATAAAATTTATATTCCTTCGGATAATATTATTCCTTGATATCGAGTTGTCTGGGACTTCGCCAGTAGGTCAGAAAACTGTTATAATATGTGAATTAATCAAGTGAAAATTTAAACGCTTAGAATTTTTCTGTTTGAAAACTTACATTGTCGGTAAAAAGTAATTACAAATGACTAGCTTAATGAGGAAATTCTTGGAGTTGTAATTAGATGCTGTGACTAGTGGAGTTCAAACGGGCTGGGTGTGAGGTAGTCACTCATCGCAGATTATGTGTGAGTTCGCGCAATATCATGGATTGATCAAATTTAGACATTAGCACTGTTAGATTCCGGTTCAGTGGTCTAAAATTTAAGCGTCTCTACGCGAGACTGAAGGTTCTGAGTTTGGTTTACCTGTGTTGGGGGTCTTGAATGCGCACTGTTGATGAGTCTCATGCTAAGACGAAACGGCCTTCCAGTGCTTCCAGGTTCCTAATAGTGGACTAACAATGATCGATTCATGATTTCAATGAAACCCAACAATATCCATTACCCTGTAATGAACAAAATAATCAGTATACTTCATCTAAAACTATAGAGTATTTAGAGTGCAGTCAGTGAGTCAGCCACAATGTAGAACTTCGTACATACGTACATCAGTTCAAATTCGACAATAGTAGAGGTAGGAGAAGTATTAGCGGTTATGGAGATTAGGGTTCGAAGATTTTATTCAAGAAGCGTAATTCAGCGAAATAAATTGAGAAGGATGAAGGTAGTGGTGATAAGGGATTCAGAAAATTACAACTTGAGATAAAACAAAGATTGGATTCATCTGAATCGCTGCAAACAATTTTAAGCCATGTAATTCAAGGTGTCCAACCATGAGTTAATATCATCTCACTGATCCCAATCAGGTAATCTAACCCTACCAACATGACTCAGTCCACTTGTCAGTGACTTCGTCGATGTACAGCTTCATATTTTCTCATTGAAAAGTTGTCATTTTTTTCAAGAGAGGTAGTTCCAGCTTTTTTAAATCAGTGATGTTGTTTATCATTGATCATTGTACAACATTTATCTCTCTAGATATTTTACATTCATATTATTTCTATTATGAGATAATTTTTATGTTTTTTTTCTTCATTTGTTGTTTGCTTTTCATTTCTTAAGTATACTGTGAACACTATACAAGGATGCCTACTCAGTCTATTCTGCTTAGCAAATTAGTTTATTATCCCGATTTTTTGGAATACCGCATATATATATATATATATATATATATATATATATATATATGACCGTATTGTTTATATGCTGTCTCAGGCTGTTGTGAACCTGTTGATTTTCAAAGCGTTTTTAATTTAAAGAAAACTAATTTGTGTAAAACAAATATGGGAAGTATATATACATATATATATACATGATTTTGTCTTACAATAACTTAGTTTACGCTTTGTCCTCTCACATTATACTGTATCTTGTAATTTCTTGAATTCACATTTTATGAACGAGTTATTGTTTAATGTATATACACACATATGTTTAACAAATTATTATTATTATTATTATTATATGGTAATATGCATATTAATGTGTCATAGCTTCTTTATAGATTGTTTTACTTCTTCTTTACTTTTTTCTTTTGTACTTGCTAGTTTTGACAAGTGATAAAAGAGGAAAAAAAAAGAAAATACTCATTCTTTTTTTTGTGTGTGTGATTGTGTTTATTCAATGAACTGTTCCAACTTCATTAAATAAGTTGTTTGTTTTTTTCTCAATGATATATTTTTGTTTGCAAACGAAAGTGAAAGTATCTCATGCAGTTGTTATATATATATATATATATATATATATCAACTTTGTTAATCATTTAGTATTTATAAGGTGAGATCTGTATATATATCTATAAAAAAATGATTCACTTTTGCCATTCTAATTAAACGGTTCAACTAATGCGTTAACTTGACTTTTACCAATAATTTTCTTTTGTTTTTGTTGTTTTTTTTTGGTGACGATATTTCGTCAACACTAGTATTACCCATTATTATTATTATTATTATTATTATTATTATTATTATTATCACGATGTTTTTCCTTTGCATACAAACAACTCTATTTGTTTTGTTTTTTTTTACTTTTTTTTTTCTGTGAATTCGATTACTTTCATTTGTTTGTTGAATTAGTTTGATATATTTATATTAGCTAACAAACTGTTTATATAACTAACTGTAACGATTATTAGTTCTTCACCTCCAGGATATCTCTCCCTAGAGTTTTAACACAGTATGAATATAATCTAAGAAAAAGTAAAAATATTTTGTTTTCACAATATTTGTTTTGTTTTTATACAATAGGATAAGACGTCATTTAAAAAGATCTACAGTTTTCTATACTTTTTTTTTGTTCACCAAATTTATTACTTGTTACGTTTTTCGACAGTGCATGTACTATGCAGAGTGATTTTGAGGTTGTTATTAGCTTACTAAAACTACTCAATAATCTACATTTTGGCGGATCTCCCTAACTGACAAACTGGATTTATTTAGTACTAAACGTCATCTTTCACTTGTCATAATCTCGTATACTAGATTGTGTTTGGATTCGATTAATGCTATTTCACTTTAAATAATGTGACAGTATTATTAACAATTTCTTTACCCCGTAGAGTTATAGCATAGAGACAATGTAAGTCGAATTCATTTAAGTCTTTGGTTTCAAATACTTCTTCCTATCAATATTTGGATAAATACAGAAACCAAGGTAGATGGTAACCAACTTTGTATTTGAAACTACATGAGGCTTGTAGAGATGAATGTTTAGTGAATAACAAAGCATTTTGTGCCTTGAACAGATTTAGAACTACTCACGTGAGTAGACCATGATATTTATCGTCGATTGACGATCAAACAAATATATCTCGTCGGCATCGTTTTTAGTTTGGAAGCAGTTACTTAGTGCTTAACGATTTACATGTAGAATCATGTTGAAACAGACGGCATTGTTAAATCTACGTAACAAGAACATTATTTTAAATTGTTTGGAATGATATATTTCTTAGATTGCTTTGAGATGATGTTTGTTACACATTACAATAATAGGATTCATCATATCCCAACCGTAGCTGCTACCACGACTTGGTGTTCGAGCTTGCTTGACCCAACCGGACCATATTGGTTGAAACACCTGTTCCGTGAGGTCCCGCCATACCAGGCAGGTCACTTAGTGAACGTTTTGGAGGTTGAATCGTACTCATGACTGTATAGGACTGCGACAGCCGTAATGTATTTCTCTCGGACAGCCAGGATCTGCAGCAATAATGCCTACTCACAAGGAAGGAAGGGGTTAGAAGAGGTTGACCTTAAAACTGGTTCACCATACACCGTGGGTTCCCGTCTCCAGCAGTAAGGCCCTATGAAGAGCGGAGCTAACACTTCCGAAACATCCCAAAAGAAGATCCTGTCTGACTGGCCTCAAACAGATGTCCCTTGGGCTCTCTGGTCAAACTTCCAAGTCGATGGGACCAACGCTAACCTAACTTCGTTTTCACGCTCCTAATAAACACTTCCACGATGTAGGAAGTGACCCAACTTCATACTCGTAACAACACACGAGGCCAAACTAGTCGCAATCAAATCCCTCCTGCACCTCTTAATAAGTCTCTTATCTCAAAGGCCAACTAATATTATTATTTCTTTGCCGCCCCGCACCGCTGATGCAAAAGTTTCGAGTTCCAGAAATATAAATCCGCGTCTACTAAAACCACAATCCAAACTGAATGTTGGAGATCATAATGTCCGCACATTGTGCCGAATAGGACAACAGGCTTACTTAGCTAGTAATCTGCAATTTCGTACCATCAAGGCATACTGTGTTTCCGAAATGCGTATACAGGTTCCGAATAGTGTCACTCATTTGAACTCACGCTGTCAAAATAACGAATCACCTCGATTCACGCTTCGTGTATCTGGAAGTCCAACTTCTGCTTTCTGTGGCCTTGCTGATGTAGGTATAGCATAAAGTCCTGAGGCAGAACTAGCTCTTGTAGACTGGATCCCAGTAGATAGTCACCTGTGCGCTGCGCGACTAAACGGGACAATAAAGACTCGGACAGATAGGGACACGCCGTTGCCTCTTCTTCGTCTGCCCTCGCTCCCTGTGACTGCAGCTCAGATGAGTTCCACAGGAAGCTTTCCAACCTCCTCCAAAACGTGGAGCGCTCTCATGTAGTAATAATGGCTGGTGACTTTAATGCTCATGTAGGTAGACTAAGCGAAACTAAAAGACACCTGGGTGGATCTGATGGTGCCGTAATTGAAAGAACAGATAATGGCGACCGTCTGTTGCAGCTATGCTCAGACAACCTCCGATTTCTTGCAAATACTAACTTTAAGCAGAAGGAAAAACATCTTTTGACCTAGCTGTTCCCAAAGTTGTCCTAACAATGGACACAACTAGACTATATTGCTATCAACCACCATTACCGCTAATACTTCCAATATACTTACCATACTTAATGTGGTATGTCTCCTTGAACTGATAGATTTGAGTACCAAGTTTTTGGCTGTCCAATCGATTCATCATTTTGAACTTCTTCACCTCGCTGTTATATGCGCAGTCTATCCAAGTTGATCTCTTGTTCTTTACGAAGGTATTTCGGTCATATACTGCTTGAAAATCCCACAGTACTGTACACAGTAACAAGATTACTTTGAACAGCGTTCTTTAGACAACTACTAATTTGCTTTATAATCTAGTGTGGATAGTTAGTTAGGCTTGTTTTGGTTTAATTATAGCAGTTTGATTATTAATATTTTAAACAAATAGCATTCCTATAATTTCACCAGTTGAATTATTTGTGGTAATGGCCTAAGTAAATTTTCGACTTCTGGCGAAACCATCAAAATGGATACAACGATTGAATCATGGCAAAGACGTTTTATCCTTGGTAGATCGTAATAAATCGTTCCAGAGCTTCGAAAATTCGCTGGTAAAGTCGTTAATATCCAGAAAGTTTCCAAACGAAGATGATTTCATTAGGTTTAAACTAATGAGTGCAAAATATATAACTACTCCCTTGTGCATATTGAATTGCAACAGCGGATGGAAAAGATTTTTCTGCACATTTTGTAGAAAAGGATCAAATTTAGTTTAAACTTCCGCCTTCAAGGCTTATTGCATTGGGATGTACAATTTGACATGCGAGAATTTTATATAAAACCCACTTTTGGACAGATTCTAACCTTATTTTATCTTTTAAGAGAAAATTACTCAGTATATTATTGAAATATTCTGGTAACCTGGGATATGCTTCGCACATTAATATACATGGATCCCATAATAGATTACGCAATATACACAGAGGTCTTTGAGACATTGCAATCTGTCTGTAGAGTGTAGCTGAGAAGGACGAACCGCGGTAATTCCTTAGTTATAGGCCCTTCTAGTGTGTAAACCAGGACAGATAGCTCACCTATTATGATGAATTGTATGTTTGCAGACGAATTAAGCAATAAGATAGATTTGAACTATAGAAGAAAGTCCAAGAATTAGCTAAGCCATGTCTTAAAATTCTCATTTTGCTTACAGTATGTACAGCCCCTTTATTGTCGATAGTATTTGAACTTCTGCCTCTCTGGGCTTAATTGATAATTTCTCCCTTAATGAATTCAATTCATGTTAGGCTCAGATCTTCTAGAAACACACACGCAGAAGTGCTGTAGTACAGAGACATAATGTTGAGGACTTACCCATTACTAAGATGTTTTGTGCGACTTTGCACTAAAATATTGCTAACATATGAGAGAGTGAAGATATGTAGGTTTTCAATCTATACTTACTATGAGGATAAGTAATTTTGACAGGTGAATAATTAATATTGCTGCTGTCATATGTACATTCATGTACGTCAAAAATGCTGTTTACAGTTATCATGAGGTTGTGAAGAGGTGTCAGTTTTTCTTTCGTAATTTGCCACTTGTCAATGCAGATATTGAAGTTTCTACAGTTAGCTACTAAAAGGATGAACAAGAAAAATTGGACAGAGCGGGGAAACATATTTAGGAGTTAAATGTAGCTAAAAATAAGTTTAGTAAACTGACTACTGAGATTGAAAGATGAATTTGATTTTGGATTTGTAAATCGGTGGAGTTATTGTTAGGAAATTAAAAGTTATACTGTAGTCATTGTAAGTGTTACTTTTGAAGAACTTGCTTCACTAGATTGTGACGTGGCTAGCAGTGTATAGCGATAAAACATCCCCAAAACAAATAATTTTGTAAGCTTTCAATATCTATTCTGACCTTATTAGTATTAACGGATGCAACTTAGCTGAAGTTGCTTGGATATAATTGATTTGAAGGGTGCTGCGAACAAAAGAATAGTGAAATACTTAATATTCTTAACATCCTCATTGATAAGTGCGACCTGGTTTGGCGTATTTAACAGAAAACTGATAATCTGTCTCTTGTCATAGGTTTATATAATCTGTACATACCCGACATTCAATATCTTTTTCACGAGCTAGTATAAACCACATAATTTCTTTGATCTCGATTCTTGTTCCTTTCATATGGTTGTAGGTAGTTAGTAGTATCCAAGGGACTATGGTCTAGCCATTCAGTTGTAATAACTCCAGTCAGTTGGCAGTTTTTTTTCGAGTTTGAAAGTCCCATAATTTGAATGAGTACGTTTGTCTCAGGGCTGTAGGTTTTCTGAATATCAGCAGCTACCACTTTACCAGGACTGAGATCAGTTAGTTGAAATGTGGAGAATAATAAAGAGAAAAATTTAATGTTAGTAAGGAGGAGATTTCAGAACTAAGTAAGTAAATGGATAATTAAGCTTAATAATTGGTGGTGAAGATTGTCTGCGAGGTCCAAATTGTAAGGGAAGGAAGCAGAGATGATAAGTGAGATAGATTGAGACAGTGATCTGAAGAGATGGCAATAATAACTGATTGGTGATCGAGTCAAGTATTGACTATGATCACCACTAAATACTAATTACGAACCCGTCACCGAGAAGATAAATAAATCCATGGTAATGAATATATTTGCTGGCGATTTCGTGGTGTCGAAAGAACACCGAAATCAAACCAGAAAAGATGGGCAAATTTACGGAGCTGGAAGAGCAAAGGATGGCAGCAACACAGACAAAAAGTGTGCGCGTAAAAAAGTGTAACAAACATAGAGTACGGTTAAACAATCACTGGATCAGTTGATTATAATAATGAATTTTTCTAATAAACCAATCGCGTTCTCTCCATAAACGTGGATCCACTACAGCAGCCTCCCGCTTGAAGGGGTTTACACATTGATACGTAGTGGTTTCGTTCGTGGGACTGATCGGCAAACGTGCGATTTTAGGAC